TATATATATATATATATATATATATATATATATATATATATATATATATATATATATATATATATATATATATATATATATATATATATATATATATATATATATATACCAAGGCAGTCAATAATTTTCTCCTGGGTTGTACTTCTTTATACTTAATTGCTTTCTGGCACGGACAATGACAATCAACTCATCTGTAATAAGTTTTTTGCATCTATATTGTGCATATAGGAACCAATAACAACATAATGCTTGTGATTGTACACAGAACGAACCTTGTTTCAAAACATTGTAATTTGTAAAAACAATGTACATTGCAAAAATTTGGATGTTTAAATGCAAATTCCTTTAAGAAAACACGGAAATGCTCTTTTAAGGCTTCCATGCAGAATGCTCTTCCAAGAAATGCGAGAAATGCTCTTCCAAGGCTTCTAGGGTAAACTGAGTTCACCAGTTGGTTGAATCCTCCCAACAACAATTTGCTTCTGATGACACTGCATACAGCTATTTCAATTAAGATTGCCCCCGAGCAAAGCGGAAAAGATGAATATAAGCGCGAAAGGCTGCTAAGAATCGCTAATAAATTAAGAAGGTCCGTGACCCTACTTTTCTATATTTTGTTCTAGCTGCTATATGTTTTACAAGTCATAGGAGAAAAATTATTTCTACAGCTTCTAATATTTTACATTTTTCGCTCATATGCTTTCCAAAATAACATATCTGAGAAGATTGTAAAATAAATCTTTGCACCACGACAATACAGTCAATGGTTTTTGATTCCCTGGAATACCATGTTTTCTTAACGGTTGAGCCATTGCGATTTTTGTAACTCGTAAAAGGGTCATATCGTCGAAACTAGCTCAGGAGCCCCAACTTTTTTCTGTTTTTACTGTGAGCATATCATAAACTTTGCTCCTGGGAAGTTTCAGAAAATTCTTATTTCCAGAACAATTACTGACGAATCAGTGTCACTTTAAGTAAAGTTGTTCACAATACTATTACATACTAAGTCAGATTTAGAATTGCTATACTGTAAACATTTATTGACTTAGATAAACAATAAGAACATATTTTCTTTTTTAAATGTCATAAAATTCTCAAACAAAACAGTTTTCAGTGCATGTTTATTTTGATTTAGCGAAAGAGCTGTTCAATAGTTTCAAGCCAGTTTCTTTCTATAACATTTCAAATGTTTTAAAGACCGTTCTAAAACATGTACACTCTTAAAAAAGGTGTGCTAAAGCAACACACCTTTTATGTCCAGAAAACAACACACCTTAAGGTGTGTTACAGTAGCACACCTTTAGGTGTGTTATTCGCTTGTCCAGAAAACAACACACCTTTAGGTGTGTTTTGAGAAAAGGTGTGTTTGTTAGCACACCTTGGTGTGTTTGTTAGCACGCCTTGGTGTGTTGCTGTAACACAACTTAAGGTGTGTTGCTGTAACACACCTTTAAGGTGTGCTGTTGTAACACACCTTTAAGGTGTGCTGCTGTAACACACCTTTAAGGTGTGCTGCTGTAACACGCCTGAAGATGTGCTACAGTAACACACCTTGGGGCGTGCTACAGTAACACACCTTAAAAGGCGTGCTACTGTAACACACCTGATTGATTAACCTAAGAAATCAATAAAGACATTTTTAAGTCAAAATAATTTATTATCCTTCTATATACAAGGTATGCAGTATTGTAAGAGGAAATACGATTTGCTTTAGCATATAATGATATATTCTTACGCTCGATAACATTGTTTGAATACAGTTCTAAGTTCAAAGTTTGATTGATGATATCATGGCTGCATGTGTATAATGTAATGGATTGCAGGATGATGCAAATAGCCAATATTAAATATAGGAGACAATCAACAGCCTACTCTAGTAAGGCAATAATAGCAGACTGATCATAGGTTTTTGCAGATGGACATTTCAAATGGAAACTGTACAGTTAACATGTGTTTCATAGAACTAACTGAGAACATGTTTTGCTCGCTCTGGTTTAAATAAATTATTACAAAGTCTAGTTGAATTGTAATCAAGACCCAACGTTTTGACACTCCAGTCTAGTGTCTTCATCAGGGGTGATCTAAAGTTGCAATTGTCGCTTCTTAAATACCCAAGGGATGACGTCACCTGCCAATGAGATGCATGTCATATTAAGGTTGCCTTAAAACCGTATTATTTTGACTTTAGGCCATATTTTCGCAAAGCCAAAAGATCCTATTAAAACAAATCAGAAAACTCATGCTGTATATTCTATACAGTACCATGCGGTGACTGCGAAAAAGAGTATTTCAGTCAGTCTAAACCCAGTTTGGTACATGGCTAAATGAACATCAAAGGGCTGTTTCAACTTTAAAACAAGGGAAAAGCAGCTTTATCAGAACATGTGTGTGACACCAAACACGAGATTGTGTCGGGTATTTAAGAATCCACAATTGCAACTTTAGATCACCCCTAAAGAAGACACTAGACTGGAGTGTCTAGGTCTTGATTGCAATTCCACCAGGCTTTGTAATTATTTATTTAATCCAGAGTAGCAAGCGAAACATGATTGATATACCTGGTTGCAGTGAACAAACACACTTCAAATAACTCAGAGAGCAATTGCAAGTCTGCCAGCATGAACTGAACCTACCGGCA